CCCAACCACTAACCTGCTTCAATGAGCAAATCATCTGTCTTCTTAATGAGACCACTGATTACAAAAGTTAGTGCTCAGTAAATTAACAAAACCGTTCTTCAGTATCTGTCCTTCCGAACACATACCTGCCCCCTAGAATATATCTCATTCATCCTGAACTGGCCAAGTTACAGAATGAATAAATTCAAGCTGTATGTACTCATATACTTTTAAACAGTATGTAACTGTAATTAATATAAACATTAATCTGTGAAGGGATTACAAGGTGGATTTAGGAAACATGCCCCTCCCCATTGATGCAGATAAGTACTGGAAGAGCCCCATCCTAGAATATAATTTATATAGTTGAATTAAAAAAATAGTATTTTTTTAGTTCTCTAATGAACACATTAGAGAATCTTAAATTTCCTTTGAACATCAGTGTCAATTTGTAGAAAGTTTATTCAGTTGATCTGATTATGAAAATGATACTATAATCTGAAGAATATTTCCCCCATGTTGCTGAGGTGAAAAGCCCCCTACAATTTTGCTAGGGCAATGATGCTATGAAGAGATGTGATTTTATTAGTCAGTGTAACACTTCATTGCAATAATAACTGGAAACACTGTACAAACAGTATCACATCTATTGCAAAGGCATTATTTAACTGAGCCTGTAGTTGCTCAAAAGGAGTTCCAAAAAAATATGGTTTAGTGCAAATATGCCTCAAATGCCTCTCAAATGTATGCTTGAGCAAAAGAAGCTATGGCAAATTACTTCAAATGGCTGCACATACAGAGCTTCCTTCCTACATGATAAACAATGCTAACAGTAAGCAAACTTCTCAAAAAAGCTGGCTCATTTTATAGCTGAATATTTCGATACAGATTTTTCATTTATTTTCTGTCAAAGCAATTGTTTTAAGGGAATGAAATATTTACATAACATAAAAATAAAAAGACCAGGTTTTACATTTCCCTAGGCTTATGAGTGTGATTTGCATGTAATGATAAAATTAGAACTGCAAGCTTGCATAGTTATTTTTACTCTAGTCCACAACTGATATTAAAATAATTTCCGTGCATTTTAGACAACCATTTTATTTATTTACCAATATATTGAATCTCATTGTAGGAATGCAACAGCACAGAGAAGAAGCTTATCTGCCTATTTGTAAGCTTATTTACTACTATTTACTTTCTACTCATTAGCAAAACAAGTTTTAGGAAACCTAACACATATGGTAGGTTCACTGCTTTTTATTAAGAACCTTATTCTAACACATTAACAAGTGGGAATGGGGGAGAAAAGTCACTGTGATTTAGGTTTTGGTTTCCTCTACAAGTCTGTGAGCACCATTAGTCAGAGCACTTTGCAAATATTGTGATGACCAGAGAGAAAGCTGGCACTGTGCGGTAGAGAAGAACAGCAGTTCCAACATACCAGTCTAACCTGGCCACAGCAAGCATGCAGTGCAAGAAACAAGTAAGCAGCTCACATGTAACAGACCTTGTGCACAAAACTTTTTAAATTACAGGACTTCTTCACAACACTTTTTTATCCAGATCTTTTATCTGAAAAGAAATTATAGCATACCAGAAACCTAAACCAAAAGCATTATGGACTTTCTGACTTGGGTGCTGAAAGAGTGAAGTAAAAATGTATGCATGCACAAAATCATCATATATATACCACAATCTTACACCCTCCAGAACACATCCAAACTGAAGTAATCCCTTCTTTCTGCCAGCATAGCTCCAAACTGAACTGTTTCCTCCAGTGAACCACCCAGCTGTCACATTATTTTCACTCTTCCAGACCATCTGCTTTTTCTGGGGAAAAAAAATAATTAAATTTCATCTCTTTCTGAACCAGAGACCCAAACCTATCCATGCTTCACCTGCCAATTTCAGGCCGTGGACTCCAACACCACACTTTGAAGACTACCTTTAGGTATTTTATCTGCCTGAAAACCTCTGAAAATCAGACTCTTGTGCATCCACGTCATCTACCTTTCCTACCTGAGACACTAAGTTCTATCCTCAAGCTCAGATGAAGATGGTCATTAGTTATTTGAATGATAGCAGGGCTCACCAGTCCTCCTCACAGCTGAGCTTCCATCACACCCAGAACACTGCAAACACCAGAGTGTCATTTCCCCAGGCAGCTCCACACCTCACTCACTGTGTAGGAAAAAAGCTATTGGGGTCACTGGGTACCCAATTCCTCCCTTTGGCTGAGAGCTCTTCCTTCTTCAAAGGGAAGTACAAGAATCAGCAAAAAATTCGCCCTTGGCCATGTTGGAAAGAGCAGCTTTACTTCCAGGCGTGTTGCAAAGCCCCCAGCCTTGAAGAGCAACACGGGCGTGGGCTGCCTGAAACACACAGCCCTGCAAACCAGCATCATTTCTGCTTCGAGATGGGCTGCCAGTCTGCCAGCCCCGCTAGCCAGCTTTCCAAGCGCCGGGAGAGGAGCCTGGCAGGGTGTTCACGCATCTCATTTACAGACCCAATGATGTCCCTTTGAGGAAGGCAGAACATCCGTGAAAGCGCGGTTTAAACTCCCCGGGAGGGAGAGCTGGTGAAAGCTTTAGAGCAGGGACACTTGCTGAGAAATGTGCTGAGAAATGAAGGTCCTGCGGAGAAGAGGCAGGGCTGCTCCGCTTTACTGCCTGCATGGAGTGCCTGTTACCCTGTGTTTCTAAGACAATAATGTAAGACTAAGCTATGCTTTTAAAAATAATTAAAAAAGAAAAGAAATATGGGCATGCTACACATCATTTCGTAAGGACACCATGCCCTGAACACGTTGTTCCTGTAACATTTGCAGGGAGCACAAGGGACTGGGTAGTAAGCGGATGCCAATGAATCTGCCACCACTTCTGTAGCAGCAGGAGAAGACAGGAAGAAGGCCTGAAAGCCTGCACCCAAGTGGTGCTCACTACAATGCAGCCTGTTGCTTTCTCCCTAGAGGAGAGAGGGAACAGCTGCCCAAAGCAGCGAACTCTGCCCAGCCAGCCAAATCCTGCCACCTGCACATGCGCCAGAGCAGCTCTCAGGCCACATGAGAGGAAGGGTGGGAGAGGAAGGGATGGAAGCTCACGTCTTCCTGAACGTATGCGACCCACCGCCCTCACCACAGCGTGGGGTTTTGCCAGTGAATGTAAATCACCTGAGTCAGCTAAACTGAGAGCCCTGTGACAGACCTTGCCCATGTACAGTAATGCCTTCTTGGCAATTATTCCTAATGAATCTATAGACTGGCTGGGGGCTTAGCAAATACGCCCGCAGCGAGGACTGCAAGCCTGTCTTACACATGGTCATGGGCTGCCTGCACCACAGGGAGAGCCACGTCACCCCCCCACTCTACAACAACCAGCAACGCGCAGAGCAGCACACCGAAAACTTGCTACTGCCAGCACTGGATGTAAGACACTCTCCCAGAAATAAAGGGCACTTTAAGAAATGACCTGTGCTTCTGCCCCCTCTCAGATGTCTTTTCTTTCCTGTCACCCCCCAGGTCTAAAGTCACATCCTTGCCCAAGAGCAGTAAATGCTGCGTTATTCCACTCAGTATGGATATGAGCCACTCGCTCTACCTCCTGCTAAACTGAAGGCACTCATCTCCTAAATAGCAGCAATTGCTAAGTACCATGTTTTTCAAAGGAGAAGAAAAGCTGAGCGCTTCTTTCCTTTCCATTTTTGGAACTGTAGTGTAATCTGTGCAGCTACAGAGCTGCAGCTGATACCACATCACCCTTTGCAAGGGCCAGAGTAAGCGGCAAAAATATCCACTGAGTATCAGTCCCAACATTCCCCTCTCCCTTACGCCCACAGCATCTGTAATCTTGCTTCCAAATCCAGAACACAATTAGAAACCTTCCCTGGCTTAAAACCTTCCATACTTAAGAACCTAAACTTTTAATTGTGCTTTGTTGATACGGTTTAAAGATACATGGAAATTCTGCCAGATGTCCATGGCTGGTAGATCAGCTGAAGAACAATTCAATTTCAGGGATTTGAGCCTGGCTAATTACCCTCCTCCCTCGTGTACAACTACCAATACAATTACATATTTAACTACACCAGACTAGACGTTATATGCTGCTGAACAGAACAGCATAAAGCTATGAAATAAGATTTCATCTTTCTCTTTTCCTTTGTGCAGCCTTACTTCAGTAGGAATGAGCTTGCAGATGAGCTGAGAAGTATTTCTTTTCTAAAGCACATGCCTTTTTTCTACTGTCCAGTGAGCAGAAAATAGAATAAATTACATTAACATTATAGCAAGACACATGAGGGCTAGGTGGGATTTTTGTTGTTTCTTGCAGTTATTATCCTGGGCACCTTTAGATGAATATGCAATCAGAATAGAAATCTTTACCAGGAGAACCAAATTAGGATACATTGTGCTATAAGCAGAGCAGTCAAGTTTTAGTGTATTTTCAACTGAATTATTAACATCTGAATAAGTGCTTTCAGAAGCAATAAACAAAATGCTGCTTTCTTCAGTGCAACTTCTGGTTGAAAACACATTTTTTTTTTTAGAAACTGCTGAATTCTCTACCCAGACCATTCTTTTTAATTCACACTGAAAAGTTTTAGCCAATGCTTGCATCCAAATATACCAGCAGCAAAGTAACTGTCTTTAAGACCATTTAAAGTAAGTACATTAAGCACTCATATACCTTGTATGTTATTTAAATATAACCTAACCCCCAAATATTTCATAATCAGAATTTGGTAGAAAGCATCTTGAAATCATCTGCTATTTCCTATGTGTGTAAAGATATTAATAACAGTAACTGACAGTTAATGACAACATAATAATTTAAGTGCGTTGACAATTATTGAACTGCACGCACTTCAGAGAAATATAAATGCCAGAGGAGAGCAGCTACAGCTCCATGACTAATGTGTGCCCTGGATTCTGACCATCAGCTTTGCTATTTCAGTTTTGTGACCTAAATCTCCCTCCCCTGCCAGAAAGAAACAAAAAACCCAAACAAGAAGTGTCTTACTTGTTCTGCCTTCTCCGGTGGTTTTCTATCCGCCTGCAAAAACAGGCAGTTTTCTCTCGCCAGCTTGTGGACCAGCTCAATCCGTCCGATGTCATCTCTTCCCTGAAGCTTGCACAAAACTCCTGCCTTAAGGGTGGGAGAAAGAGCAAACAGATACTTAAATCCACAATCCCAGGACATGACACCGCCACAAATTTCAACCTTATAAGAAATGCATCTGCTTTCTCATATTTGCGATACTTGGGTGCCGCTTGCTGAGCACAAACAAGTCGCTGCTTCCTGGGAAACAACTGGAGAGGAGCTGAAGCACATCCAAATCTCCAAATGTATCTACTTTGGAGGAACAAAGGCAGGGCTAACTAAATCAACCGCTCCTCTGCGTGTGACTATCAGATACGCTGTGTTTTATTTGTTCCTGTCAGCCTGTTTCCTGTTACATAAGAGAACAAGAGCAAGAGGTTAAAAACTCATGGGAAAGTTAGCCAGGAACAGCCCTGGAAAAAGAATGAAGCGCAACACAAGGCACTCCTAAAAATAACAGGCTACAACTCCCTCTGCTCCCGCTCCAAACCATTTTTCACGTATGCAAGCCTCAAGAGTTAAAAGACAGTTGCGCCACATTTATTTACTCTGTAAATAACAAATCAATAGCTCCTGATTTTGTTTAGGGAAGAAAGTGAGGTTTGCTTTAAAAACCTTGTTAGAACTGTTTTTCTGGCTAATATTCTGCCAGTTATTCAAGCTACGCTGATAGTATTTTGTCAAAACATTCAGCACTGGTTGTTTTATAAAAATGCCATCCATATATAAAGACAGATTCGTGCTTGCACACAGGCATATCAGACCCATCACAAAGTCAGCTGATGAGGGCTAAATTGCTCCCTGAAAAGTCAGTGGCTCTATGTCCATGATTTGGTCATGGATATAGCCTCTGCGTAACTCAGACCTGGCTTGACGATACTGCACAGCTTTTATTAGCCCAGATGTTTCCTGACGGGAACAGCCTATGCCTTGGGAGAGCCAGGCATGTGGCATGCCTAGGCTATTGTTATATGACTTTAAAAGCAACCTGCAAATAAACCTCCTTCCCCATGCCTCCACCCTTTTCTTTTTGCTGAATGATTTGAAAGAAATTTTTGCATGCCTACATTCCCCCTGGATGAAAGCATCTCCTCAAAAGCCTGCATCAGGCACTTGTGCTCTGGAGAAGACACGAATTTCAGATGCAGCCTGTGCTCTGCATGTCCTATGGTTAGTCCCCAGCCTGCTGAGGAACCCAGCTTTCCCACGTAAGGAACATACGTACTGGTTTGCAGGTCAGAAGTCTGCTGACAAAATAAGGAATTGCAGCGCCTAACCTAAAGGTCCTTACATTTTCTATGACGTTAGCTCCTTATCTTCTAAATCAAGAACATGGATTTATAAACCAGTTCTGATGCACTGTTATCACCTGCAGATCAGGAGTGAGACTGATTTTATCAAATGTGGAAGAATACACTGAACTAGTTGTCCAGACTCGTTTAATCAATAGAGAAAAAGAGGTACTTAAGAATATTTTTTTTACTCTCCAGTAGACATTTAAAAATGGTCAAATTAATTATTTCCTAAAATATCCTTTTTTCTCTAGTAGTTTGCAAAGGGAACCTAGGCAATCACCACAGATTTGGCTGAAGTCCGATGTCTGCACTTCACACACTTAGATGGCTTGGGGACATCAGCTCGAGCCAAACCTGCTTATTTCACGGCTTTGGGGTGCTCCTAGCAGAGAGTACAAAGTCTGTGTGCTGTAATTCCCTCACGGCTTGTAGGCTAAGGACAACCCAAACTGTTGAGACCTGTTAGGGCTTTGGTCTATAAAGATTTACAGTCTCTTTGGATCTGGGACTATGGAGGCACTTTTCACACCTTCATGTTGTGCCCAGACAAGGCAGACCATGACCTACGAGTGTCATAGATGGTTACGAGTCCTGTACTTCAAATGTCAGATAGGCATTGACAGAAATGCAGCATTCCCTCTGCTGAACAAACAGTTATTGATCTGCAGCGTATGAAGCAGAGCCCAATGGTTAAAATCATTTATGTTAAGATGAGGAAGTGAGACTTCAGTTTTGGGTAACAGCTGGCTTCAGTATGTTCAAGTGGATGAAACACCCCAGAGAAAGACACCTTTTTGACCACACGGGCCTCGCTCTCTTTCACCCCTTGCCCTCTGCCTCTGTTCAGACAGGGCACATTATTGCTTTCTGCATGCATGAGCACCCCAGGGAAGAAGTAACTCTAGACACAAGCCCATTAGCTCTGCCACAAACATGGTCTGTATTCAAATTGGCAATTTCATTAAAGAATCATGTTGTCCTGTTTCAAATAACCACCAAAAAGAAATCTTACATTTTTAACATGTCCCGTCTTTCCCCAACTATTATTTAATTAAAAGATATGCAGAGAACGTGAAATATCTACTTATTTCATAGGGTTTCCAGAAGGTAAAAGGTCAACTAAAAACTTTCTGGGAGGGATAAGGTATTAAGTTAATTGTATATGCTTGGGTCTGGGAGTAAAGAATGCACTTGAAATACAAAAGGCTAAATACGCTTTTTCATAACAAAAATATGAATCCCTCACTTTTAATTTTATTTCCTCAATTATGCTGACTTTCCTCTATAAATCTTTCTGCTAAATACTTACAAGAAAGCATCCAGGTCAACTAATTAATTGATGAGAGCTTCTAAAAGCTGGTTGGGAAGAAGTCTCCTATTACTGGTCATTTTCACTTGTGAATATAAATTTAATTTACAAGCAATACCTTTGAAGCTGTTTGTTAGACTAAAGTGTAAAGGCAAGCCGCCCTACTTGCAAAGCGCAATTTTGATTTGTATTTTGTGCAGGCACATACCCTCCAAAATCCCACATGCCCAGATGTTGGTGCTTAGTCCTCTAGTTCAAGTACACCAACAGAGATACAAGCACTAACTTATGTGAAGGTGAAAATCACAAAATTGCATATTTTAACTGGTTTTAATTTAATGAATGATAAAAGAACGTAGGAGCTTTATAGTATGGCTTTACTACCATTCACGGCACAAAATTACTATCATTAAAGGTGTTTATGCAATATTTGAAATGAAATAAAAACATTTAATGGGTAGGGAAGTAAATTAGTCACTACCGAGGTTGGAAAAGCAAAGGTGCTGACAACACATTTTCTGTTTCAGCAGATCCATCGGACAGCACTTCCTCTGCAAAGGCCATAAATGAATATGCTAGCAGTGACACGCAGGTGAATTCAGACAGCCCTAGGCAAACAGGATGGGATTTTTTTATTTACATTATTTAAACTGTTTACAGCATGCTCGCTTTTAAAAATTCTCAGTATTGAATTTTTTCCACTCTTCTACCACTATTGTGTACTAACTACAATGTAAGTCAGGCCTCTGTCGCACAAAGCAGTGTTTAGAGCAGGCACCACACCCTTCAACTCTGCTAACAGAAGAGGTCTGTGGTGGTTTGGGTTTTTTTTTCCACTGCGCTTCTGTCTCCTCCTGTGTCTGCTGAAAATAACGTAATTATTACAGGCTTCACCTTTGATCAACCTGAAAACTTAAAACTATATACCACTGTCTCAAAAGGATTGTTTGGGTTGGAAGGGACCTTAAAGACCATCTAGTTCCAACCCCCCTGCCATAGGCAGGGACACCTTCCACTAGACCAGGTTGCTCAAAGCCTCATCCAGCCTGGCCTTGAAGACATCCAGGGATGGGGCATCCACAGCTTCTCTGGGCAACCTGTTCCAGTGCCCCACCACCCTCTCTGGGAAGAACTTCTTCCGGATATCTAATCTAAGCCTCCCCACTTTCAATTTAAACCCCTTGTCCTGTCACTACAGGCCCTTGTAAAAAGTCCCCCCCCTCCAGCTTCCTTGCAGGCCCCTTCAGGTACTGGAAGGTGCTATAAGGTCTCCCTGGAGCCTTCTCTTCTCCAGGCTGAACAAGCCCAACTCTCTCAGCTTCGCTTTGCTCCAGTCACGTGCACAACCTCACTAAAGTGAAAAAAAATCATTCACACCCTTAAACCACACTTGTTGGTGTTTGCAGGCTGTCGTTTTTATGGCACTGACAAACGAATTGGAGCAACAGCTGCTTTGATAACACTTCTCCTCCCAGTTGGGCACTTGAACACTTTTGTTAACTGCTCACTTAATAATTAATTTTAAATGAGTGTAAAATGTTTCAAATACTTTCACATTTTAGAAGCTGTTTTCCAGCCAAATTAAAGTTGGGTGAATCAATATCCCAATAATAAATTCTTATGGGCTTTTACAATCTGTCCATGTAATCTTACTAGCTGGCTATTTAGGAGCTTTAAGCACATGTTGTAGTCTTTACAAGTCTGACTTACATGTGAACAAGCATTTTCAAAAATTAGTAAGAGCTACAACAATCAAGTAGGGCATATATGAAACCCAAAAAAAGAAAACAGAAAGCCAGATTTCTTGTGTGGTGAGGTCAGTATTTCCCTCTGAGTCTTTCCTATAGTTCTGTAATGCACACCTGAGCTCTAGAAGATTGATCCTCAACCCTGCACTGATACGATTTAGGAATACAAGATCAGGTAACAAAATTTTCACAACTTAGGGCTCCTACTATTTTTTTTTTTTAATAGATTTGAAACTGTGTGTAATGAAGAAAAGAGCAGGCCACATCCAAACATTTTGCTTGAGCATGACTCTGAAGTCACTCTCTTGCTTGAGCAAGACTCTGTCTTGCTCACAGACATCACTGCAAATCCTGACTTTCTCACACACAGCTTTTGAGAGGGCAAGGAGTTAGGAGATGAATCAGAGATGAGCTTCAAGTTGCATATATAGGAAGGAAAAAAGGTGGAAACTGGTGGGAAACAAAATTTTTAAGAGAATAGAGGAAAACAACCAATGAAGACTGGGAGAAATCAATTTTAAATGAAAAGCAAGAATCAGAACCAACACAATGAGCAATGTAGTTCCACTTGCACAGTTTCAGTGCATGAACTGAATGATTGAATGAACTGGGATTAATAAAAAAAATCACAGAATCAAAAAGGGTAAGCAATTACACAATAAGATGCTCTAAAATGCAGTTACGTTTCTTCTGAGCAATATCTAGAAGTATGCTTTGGTTGTAAATGAGGGCAGTTAGGGAGGGAAGGAAAAAGGTTGCTGCTTACACTTGAGTGACTAATAAGTATCTTCATTTCACTGCATGTCTACTTACAGTGATTAAAATTCAATCAAAACGTCACATGCCCTTGCCTCCTAAAGCACAACTCATTTTATTTTCACATCTGGTATATGGTATGTGTATTATCTAAAAAGAGCAGAGAGATAGTTGAGGAATGCTGCCCGATTGCAACATCATGGGATTAATTCCCAGAATAATCATCAATCTTATTCTAAATAGTCACATTAGACAAGATCCAGCAGACTTTCTCCTTCCTATGGGCTCCCTGTGCAGAACATCAAGGTAAATCCATTTCCCAGAGCTACAGAGAGCAGATCCTTCAACCTGCATATCTGAAAAAGTCCCTGAGATGGCATTAATCTTACACATTTACCTGATCATCAGAGGTATCCTTGAGCTCTTCTAGTCCTCTTATTTCTTGACTGCTGTTTTCTTCGTTTTGATTAATTGCTAAAATAAGAAAGAGGGAATGTATTTGCAGCAGGCAGGTTCAAATCACAAGAAGCAGCAAAGCATCATGGCCCCATTTAGTTTAAACAGTATGACCATTCAAGAAATCTTATTCCAAGTTCAGCTTTCTAGTTAACTCCTTAAGTCGTTTTGGACAAATCCTGTAAGATACATCTAATTTTTTCCAGGTAGTAAAATGCAGTACTTGAGTTAAATTCCTGCTACTGTTAGTCCCAATAAAAGGGTGACATCTTTCCATCCATTATAACATTCCACTTTTCCATGCATTATAACAAGACCTGGTGATTCGAAGAATAAAAACATCCCTTTATTTTCATTATATTGCAGAGAGACAATTCAGACTAAACAAAATAAGCCGATCTATCCCTCATCTCAGCCTCGGAAAACTGTTCATAAGAAAACAGATCTCAACCTTAACAACCACCACCAGTACCCATGAAAGTCATCTCCACAAATGAGGATGATCTGTGGAAGGTTATTTGCTGCTGACATGATAAGAGAAACCAGTAACTTAGCTCAATTAATATTGCTTGACACACGCAAGTTTTGCCAGAGTTTAAAGAAAAAAAAAGTTTAGATCAAACATGGAAGCTCTGGATGGGTCTAAACCAGAGTTACCAGTTTACCCAGCTAAAGAAGCAAGGACCATTTTTGAAGGGACACAGCAGCCGTCTGAGTTGCAAACAGATGTATCTATAGGTAGTTTTTTTACTAGCTGTAGGCCAAAATACCCTGACAGTCAACATGCCCACCTGCTGTATTTTAATGGGACATTATGCCCTCAGCCATTCTAAAATGTGACACATGGCAGGTAAGGCAGAACAGACCCTGCCATGAAACACGTGAGAAGTGACAACTTACAAACACCATACTCATTTACTTAAAAGCACCATACTCAAATAGTGGACTTGTTTACACCTTGAATGATCTGTGCATGTAGCCATAGCAGTTGTGACAACAACAGTATCCTTGAAGTGTTTGAGCTGGCAAACCCATTTCCTGAACAACTCAGGGCACATGGCATTGAAGGATGGGCACGAGCATTTGGTTTGCATGGTTCCTCCTACCTACCTCCTCTCTCCTTCACCGTAGCATACCTGAGCTGGCCATCAGGCTCTATCTGAACAGCTACAGCTCAGAGCACCGTGTTTTAAGACACCAGTATCACCAGTCCCGTTTTGCCTCAGCCCAGGATTTGACTGATGAACAGATTGTCTGGGGAGGTATGTAGTGCTGCCTTCATCAGCCACCCTCATCCCAGCCCCCCTCAGCCTCAGTCTTTAGACACACAGCCAGGTTACCACAGCTGAGCTAATACACGTAACATGAGCCATGAGAGCTGACCTGGGGTGTCTGCAGGTGTGCTCTGAGTCTGCTGCAGACAAAAATCAGTCCAACCTTTAGGCAGCATCGAGCAACTTAAAAGAAAAGTAACTTTAGACTGTCTTGACCTCTAAAGCATATAGATTTTTTTTTTTTTTTTTTTACTGCAGGATTTCTGCTGATATTGCTATGCCATATAGGGTATAATTCTTTCCCCCCCTCCCTACTTATGCTACCAAAAAAAAAAAAAAAAAAGAGTAATAAAAATTTAATTATAAAAGGAGAAGAAAGAGTCATTTTGTCAATACAGTTTATTCCATTCAGGGATCTTTTTTAATCCATTATCAAAGGGAAACAGAGGTCTGGTATAAATTTTCACTAGTGGGTTTGCTGACATCACTTTACCAGCCAACCGCTAAAATTCAAGGTGAATGCTGAAAACACAGGGTCAGTCTATAGCTTTCACAGAAATACTGTATAACATGGGTTATATCCCATTTAAAGTTTGGCAAAATTAAAACGTGCCTGGGACACTGGCACATCCTGACCCTAGATTGGAAAAGTAATGACCCAATGAAGCAGGAACCAGAGGCACCACCTCAACAGCCCCACGTGGCCCCCTGCTCCCTAGTTTGGGTCAGTGTTTCCCAAGGCAACCTTCTGTGTCCAACCAGGCTGCAGGGTCTGTGCAGACCCTTGCCTTGTAACCCACTTCCCAGCCTTCCTCCCCAGGAGCTGTCTCATCCTCTTGCACATTCCCACACGTTCATGACCCCATCTTACCACTTCGGCAGACACAAAGCATTCAGGACATCGATTTGCTGAACACTAGCGAGAATAACAGGCATGAGCCGGGAACACTGCAATGCCAGAAGGCACTAACAAATGCTAAAAAACGGTTGTTTGAGCTATTGCAAATCACTCAAGTCTGTGGCTGCGTTAGCAGAAACACATTTCCCCAACACTCCTTTCAATTTTCTGATTTCTCCTAAAATCAATTTGCTGTAGACACTGATGGGCAAAATATCCCCTCAGACGTTGGCTATTAATCATGGCATTTAAAGGAGTGGCACCTTGCTTGTAACGAGACCACGGGTCCAGGTTTAAGGGATTTACATTGATCCAGCCAGCTTCCCCAACAAGCCTGAGCAGATGGGCGCTCCGCAAACAGCTGTGCTAGGGGAAAAGGTTAGTGGCTGTCAACAGGCTTCTTGTCACCCTCCTCTGTTTACAAGTGTCCCCTTACCTGCCCCGTGCCAGGGCAAGCACCCTAGACCGTCTTCCACCAAAGCCAACAGGCGGACCTTCAAGGTCGCTGTTGCTAACCTGGCTGGGCTGGCACATTAGCAAGGAGAGGTTATCTGGCTTGGGAGACACAGACAAGAAGCACAAACCCCAGGCTGAGCAGAGGAACATCTTTTACCTAGCCCACAGGGAAAGAATGAGGGTACTGCGTGTCCACAACAACAACAGATCCAGGTTCAGCATGAACTATTTTAAAGCTGATGAGAAACAACCTTGGTTTAGACATACCCTAAGTGAACAGGTTTTAAAAAAAAAAAAGGCAAAAAGCTGTTTTTCTCCACAATTTCACTGCTCAACTCTAAAAAAGCTAAAGAGTTCATAATCCAAACTTGGCTTTCCTTGGCTTCAATGTTGTTTAGACTGTGTAAAGAATGTAGAAAAGAGCCAGTAAATATTTTCTTAAAGAAAAAAAAAATCCCAAACCTCACACTGACATTCTCATAGCCCTCTTGGGAGAGAGGGAGCAGTTGGCCTTTTTTTCATGAAATGTCCATCACAAACTTGATTTCTGTGTCCTGCCTGCCTCTTATCCAAACCCTTCAGAACCAGCCATGATTTGAACCCTTTAACTACGCCCAGGGATCAACACTTACCACCTAATACATTTTTTTGCCATCACAAGAACATAGTCCCTTGAAGGCTGAAGTGGCCACACAAACAAGTAACATCCCCTAATTATATTCTTTTGGTTTCTGTATGAAAATGTTACTACATATTTTGCCTCTAAAATACAGAAAAAAACACAAATATTTCAGTGTATTCAAAAATCTGTGTTCACAGGGGTCATCACACACACACGAGAAACCATTACAGGGTTAGGAGGCACACCATGTGGAGAAATACAGCAACCGGTTTCTCCTCTGTGTGTGATGACAGGAGAACACCCCCTGAATTAGCCCAGGAGCTGCTTTCATGGGCGTTCGTGCACGCAGTACAAGTTCTGTCATAAAATATAAGAATTCAAGGATAATTTCCCACTTACTGTCAGTTAGCATTTTGGTTTTTTAATAAAAAGGCTTGACGTTGCAAATTCAGCTGGGGAATGGGAAAGTATTTCCCAGGCAAGTGTCGATTCTGGGAGGGTTCCCTAATATTGTAACATGTACATACAAAAAAGTTGTGAACTTTGGAGCTGGGCCAAACCCTTCCTTCTCTGCCAGTGTAAACCCTGCTTTTCTCCTTGATACAAATACCCCAGCCCATCTCACAAAGCAGCAACGAATACCCCAGCATGCCTCACAAAGCAGCAACGTTAGGAAAGGCAAAGATGGTTTACCTTGATCTATACGGATTTATTTAATGTTATTTGGTTCAGGTTTGAAACCTGTGATAGAAGAAATGTGCAAATGAACAGTGACCAATTCCCTTTTCTACTTGCAGCATTTTTTCTCCTTTGAAGAAAAGATAAGAATGAAAGAAGATGTTAAAAGAGCATTAGCTTGCTAATGTACAGTGCAAATGTGTCCATTTGCAAATAAGCCTAGGGAATTCAGATGTTGATTTTTTATGGTCACTTAAGATCACACGGGCCACCATCTGGTCTGAGTTCCTTGTGTCCCCATGGACCAGAACTGAGATATTGCTAGCATATTCTTCTATAAACTGATGTTGGATCAGAGAATTCTTGTGGGGGAGAGCCTTGTCCTTCAGTAATCCCATCTGAGTTCATTAAATCAGCAGAAAAAATAACAAAGAAATAAACAAAACTAAATAATTTTGTACTAGCTTCCTCAGCAGAATCAGGCACCACACAGGGTGTGAATGGAAAGGGAATGTAACCGTTGCCAATGCCCAAACCAAGCACATTCTTTGGGTCACCATTAGTGACCAACAGTGCTCCCTGGATTTTACTACTACGCTACAAAGTTTAACGTAGATTTAAGCCATCAGAAGCGATTTGTCTTCCTGGGCAGCACGCAGCATCCGGGCATACTGTGGACCTTCTCCTGTCAAGGGTGCCAGGGTTCCCTACAGAGCAGTGCCATCCATGATACGCTGTTCTGTGCGGCTCTAAACTGTGGGTAAATTAATTAAATTTGATGAGTAAAATATTTAAAAGTCACATAATATAATGCACATGATTTCATTTTAATACTCTGCCTTATTCAAAATAGTGGAATCTTTTACCCAGCTGAAAGTGGAAAGGACAGTTTAAAAAAAAAAATCCACACATAGACGAAAGCCTGGAACCTACAGCTTCATAATCTTCCCAGAGGCTTTGCTGTATTGTGCTTTCTTCCTTTTCTATAAATGAAGTTTCTTCTTTCTACCCCTTCTGGCTGCAAAGATAACCTTCACAACACAAACCAAGGCACTACAGTCATTCTGCTGCTGCAGCCAGCCAGACTGGA